GGCTGTCAGGGATCAAAAAGAAGGGAGAACAGACCCAAGTGGCGCCTTCAAACCAACCCCAACGCCAGCCGGGCCGCCAGGCAGTAAACGGGGATGTTGGGCTGGAACTGTTCATCTTTCTCCCTTAGAGCAGCCAGTGGACTCAAACCTCTAACTTTCCCTTCACCCTTTCCACCCACGTAACCACCAGGGATCCAAAAATAAAGAGAGAGGGTGTAGAGAGAGGGGAACTAGAACCAAAAGACAGAAAATAAAGAAATACAGGAAAATGTGAATGAATGAGTGTGCTATTATTAGAAGTGTTTCGTGTTAAGGGTCTGAGAGACTCTGCAACCAGGTGTACCCTCACCCCCACCCCAAGCGGGGAGGATCATTGAGATGCTACACACAAGCTCTTCATCTCCTTCCACTTTGTCTTCTTGAGATTCTTTCCCTGAGAAACTGCTTGCTACAGGCAATTGCTCGAGTTTGTTGATCAATAGATCAAGGAACAGTCAAAGGAGATAAGAACTATCCGGGAAGGTAGAGTGCTGGCGCTGACGAATGCAGACAGGGCCAATGCAAATACAGCGTTCAATTAGCATTTTTGTGGACCAGGCGGTTTCTGAAAACTATCTTTGAGTCCTAGGACAGGCAGAGCATCTGCGTCCATTTCTGGAGAGCCTCCCATCCACAGCCCGCTGCCATCCAGTCTGCACCACTCCAGTGCCACTTCCTGCCCCTCCTTCCAACCTCCAGCTCAATGCTAGCCCTACTTGCTTGCATTGAGCTTTACATCTTAGCCAAGTGCCCATCAACAAACGAATGGATAGAGAAGCTCTGGTATATTTCCCACAGTGGAATACTATGCAGCACTGAAAACATGAAACTCTTAAAAGATTATACAAAATGGGTGACCCTGGAGGACATTATGCTGAGTAAGATATCTCAATCACAAAAGGACAAATACTACATAGTGCCACTGTTGTAAAACGGGACTGACATTGGCTTTGGTGGAAAACTAAGAAAAGAAGGGATAAATAATGTACACTGCATTGAAACAGATAGGGAGAGAACTGTTTAAAAGGGATATATGATTAGGTATCATTTGCATGACAAGAGCCCAAAATATTGGAAGGGGGCAGAATTATACAACAATGAAAGATTTTTTCCCCCAAAGAGAAAAGCGAACTGGGGGGAGAGGTGGAGGGAGAAAAATGTACAACAATGAATGAATGGAAACCCAAGTCCTCTATAATCTTTCATTAAAATCTCAATTAAGAAAAATGCAACAATGAATGAATGGAAATCCAAAATTTCTGTAAATATTCATTAAAATTAATAAAATTTTATAAAAAATCTTAGCCACAAAGGCCCTTCGTGTAGCATTTCCTGTGTGCTGATTAGTTGTTAACTACTTTGCTTTTTGTCTTTAGGGTTTTTCTTCCTCCCCCGACCCCTGGTTTCTGGTGACCAGAGATCAGACAGCTAGATGATTACAGTGGTGGGCTTTGGTTTTGTTTCCTGTCTTCTTTTTACCAAAGGACCCTTCCTGGCTCAACAGTGAATCACTTCCTGCTAACCAAAAGGCTGACGGTTCTAATCCATACCCATCCAGCGGCTCCCCGAGAGCTGGCATCTGCTCCAACAAAGTTATTGCGTAGAAACCCTTGTGAGGTGGTTCTTCTCTGTCACATGGGGCAACGTGTCTACTTCTGACACTCTGTGAGTCAGAAATGGACTTGAGAGCATCCAACAACTTTCTAACAAGGTATTGCTTTAAATCTTGAAATAAACACCTTCACCTGGCCTTCCGGCATCCCTGAGTAGTGCAAACAGGTAAACATTGGTGACTAACCCAAAGGTTCTAAGCTACGCAGCATGCGTCAGGAGACAGGACAGAGGTCTACACTGGATCAGCCACAAGCATGGAGCACAGTTCTATGCTAACACATCTGAGACCATCATTCGTCAAAATCACCTCAAGAGTCACAAACTATTTTGTTTAATCAACATTGATTTATCCAAGAAGAAATGATGCCCTAAGATGCACAGTTAGTGAAGAATGTTAACTATACCATGACCCGCCAAAAGGCTGGATAAATCTGTCTTGGCCAATGTGCAGCCAGAGTTCCTCAGAGGCGTGGACCATGAGACTTCATCTCACAACATATTTTGGGCTTGCTCTTAGGAGGGTCCAGTCTCTGGAGAATGAGATCATGCTTGGAAAACCAGCATCAGTGAAAGAAGAGAAGACCCTCAGTGAAAGGGATTCATGCAGTGACCCCAGCAGTGGGTTCAAGCCCAGCTGAGGCCTTGAGCGTCAAGCAGGGCTTCATTCTGTCGTACGTGGGATGGCTACGAAGACGTGCCAATTTGAAGGCCCCTAACAATACTTCCCTAGGAATTGAGTTTATGGAAATAATAATACAGAAGCTCTTCAAGTCGTATTCCGTTCACAAGCTATTTCATGTTTACAAATAAATGAAGTAAATGAAACTCAAAGAGGTAAAAAAAAAAACCAAGTACATGAAGATTCTGGGGTTCCGTCTTAGAACTCTCCAACCCTAGGCTTTCTGATGAAACGAATCTGTCCTCTGCTACACTTACGGGGGTACCATGTTGGCGTCTGCTCTTTCTTCCTTGAACCAGGTGGGAGTGGGTCTCTAAGACCCACATTCCAGCTTTTCTTCACGAAGATCCCAACTGTGGCAACTAATCTCCTTCACTTGAGTGATAAAGCTTCAGTGTCTTTTCAAATTGGTGCTCTCTTAAGGTTTCCAATGGGGTTTGCATTTCAAAATACATACAGTAGCACTTATGAATTAATATCAAAATTGTAGCAAATTTTCTTCAAAAAACTAAAATAAGGTTAACCCTCAAAAGGCAAACAACATGTTTATAGAAGACTTATTTCTACTTTAGTCTGTTTTGACAGTCACCTGACATTCTCTGTCCCATCAAGAGTGTCTCTAGATCATTCCAGGACTCTTGAGCCATTATACCAAGAAATGACTGATGATATATTTAGCCAAGTATAACTCACCTTATCACAATGTATAGACACAAACTGATTACACAGAACCATACAGAAGCCTATAGCAGAAATCCCCTTTTTTATATCTCCTCACAAGCCTTTTTTTTTTTTTTTACATTATACAATCACAAAGGAAGAAAAGTTTTTGACCAAAAGCCAGCTGGGAAATAACTTGCAAAGTGAAACATCAAAGATTCATTACCAACATTTCCAGAAAATTCTTTTGGGGGATGGAAGAGTGTTTGCCTTACAATAAATTAGTATTTTGATTTGGTGAATAATTTCTATTATGCCAGAAAACACATATAGATATTTCTTCCAAGGGGACCTGAAACCCTTTCCTCAGCATTTTCATATATAAAAGAAAGTGCCTGCAAGCTGCTTTAATTGATACTAGACCAGGAAATTAAGCCAGTGTTATAGACAAGACATTAGTAATAACAATTTTCTTAAAATAAAGCATCTTGCCATCATCCATGCAGACTTTTAGTACTGAGAAAAGGGTAGAACTTTTTTCCCAAGATCTTTGAGTTTGAAAATATTGACTTTCTTACTCATAACCATTCACTCATATCCTGAATGCCCTCATGATATTTGGGAAATATCTTTTTTAATTTAACTTTCAAACAAAATTTCCTTCTGAAAGAAGAGTTTACTAACTTCATTGATTCTTTTTTGGCAAACCCACCACTCCTGAATTTTTGCAGATTAAACAAAGTAAAGATTTCCTATACCAATTCTGAAAAGACAATCTGAAAATTCAGAAAGCTTTGCTTAAACTCCAAGAATTAAAATAAATAAATAAATAAACTCAAATGAAAGAGAAAGAGAGCAGAAGAAATGAACCACTCAAAAATATGTATTTCTGAAACCAAAAGCACAAAGCAATTCAACTAACATATAGTAACTTTTATTATATTACAGAGACATAATTTTATGAATTCATATGACCCGTACAAAAGACAAAAGAAGATATTGCACTAAGTGTAGATATGGGATATTTGGATTGAATATTAGCTAAACAAATAAATATATACAATCTAAGGAATTAAGGCAAAACCAGATGATACTTCAAACACAAAAGAAGGTTTGAAAAATGGGCATAATTAAAAACAAAGGCATCCCATCTCCAGTTAATAAAGTGGCCACATCTAAGAGGAAAAAAAATCCCTTAGGTTTTTAATAAAGTAGTTATTATCAATCATGTTAATTAAAGCTGAGTAATAAAGTCTAAGATTTCCCATGGAGGAGAGCTGTGTTGCCCAGGTTTGGGGGGAATTAGAATTTGGGTAAGCGACTTTTTTCCTTGTCAGAATTATGATCTATTCATCCTATTAGAAAATATCATTTGGAAAATATGACTCTTTCACATATATAATTAAAATACAACTATGAAGCATTCTTTTCTTTGTTAAGGGAAGTCATGTCGGTGGTCTCAAAATAAATGTACAGGCAAGGCATTCATCACCCGATTTGCAGAGAAGACACAAAGTCCATCAGGGAAAAGAAACTCTCAGGTATCTCCAGAGAGCAAAACAAAGCAATTCCGGTTCCAAAGCAACACAAACAAGGTGAGTCAATATATCAACGGTACAGAGTTCTTTGGCAGTAATGCAATAATCATCAATTGTAGCTGGACCTTAAAAGTTCTCTAATTCTTAGACCCACTTGCCAGTCTTTTGGAAAATAAAGAAATTAAATTCTACATCAGGAACAAATTCAGTAATCCAGGAAACAAATTCAGCATGAACTTGGCAGACAGCTTTTTCACTGTTATACTTAAGCATAGACGGGTGGTGTCTGCTTTAAGTCCAACGTCAAATATACCAAACACTCACACAGAAAGGAAACTAAAACAATGACATGTGACAGTTGAGACTGGCTGAGAGGAGCCTAGAATCCTTAAAGAGAATTCATATTCACCCATGAGAAATCAAGGGGGATAAATCAATCTGGTGATGGAGAAAATGATCTTCGAATAATTCAGGGTGGGCTGCCCCTCACCTGGATAAAGGTCACGGAGACATCAAAGTTTCTATAGTGGGAACACCAGAAAGCCGGAAAACGTGGAATACTGCCAGCCCCCAACCAAATTTCCTTTCTCCAGTTTCAGGTAAACCTTGTCTTCTTTGTCCAAGTAGAGCAGAACTCCATTGGTGGCAGCTTCTCGAGTAACGTCTTTGTCCCCAGCAAAGGCAGATATTACTGGTTTACCATTTAACATCAGGTTCACCTATAAGAAAAAAAGAAAAATGCCAATTTAGAGCCCTCAGGAAAGTAAAAAAAAAAATCATATCTGGGCATGACGAGGACCAGCTCTGTGTGGTAGACCTGGTGGCCAGGAAATGTTGGGAAATAGAATCTCTTCCTTTTGAATTAGCCAACTGTGGTATCTCGGATGTATAACAAGACTAGGGAGGATAGAAGGGGAATTGATGCCTTTGAGCTGTGGTGTTGGAGAAGAGTATTGAATATACCATGGACTGCTAAGAAAGCAAACAGGTTCATCCTAGAGAGGGTGAAACCAGGCTGCTCCTTGGAGGCAAAGATTCTGAGGCTTGATCTGACATACTTTGGAAATGTTGCAAAGAGGGACCAGTCCTCGGAGAGGGATGTCATGCTTGGGAGGGTGGAGGGACAGCGCAGGAGGGGAAGGTCCTCTATGAGATGACTGGGGTAATCGGGATGGGTGTGTCAGAGACAGTGCGATTGGCACAGGACAGAGCAGGGATTAGGGCTGTTGTACATAGGGTCGCTATGAGTCACAAGCAACTTGATGGCACACAACAACAACAACAACAAACCGTGGTATCTAGATTTAGTGTGTCGGCTAAACCGATTTTTTTTAACCTCTCATAGAGATGTTCTTCAATTCCTACAAAAGAAATGGCAAAAGAAAACTATCCATTGGAATACAATCTACCTTTTCAGTGCATACATGAGGCATCCCTCAATGAGACGGACTGACACAGTAACAATGGGCTGGAGTACATCAGAGATGATGAGGTTGGCACAGGTTAGGATAAGGTTCAGACTGGTTGTTCATAGGGTCACTGTGAGTTATACGTGACTCAATGGCACCTCACAACAACAACAACCTCATATACCTCTTCACTCAACAACCACCTTTTGATAATGAAGCAAGCCTGTGGTTTCCTAGGGTATTCATAAAAAAATAACCAGTTAACCTGAAAAACCAAGCAACAGAAGATGCTGTCAAAATTCTAATTACTGCAAAGATGTGACATACCTCACTCTGAAAACTCATTTGGAATAATAAGAGTTGTGGATGCATGTGTGTATATTTTTAGGATGGCTTCTTCTGTTTCTTTCTGGCAAGAAATGTGTATTAGAAATGCTAATCACCTCTCGCAATAGAGATGTCAACGCTTCAATCTCAGCAAATAATCAACTCAGAAACATAGCAGTATTTCTCCATATAACACTGTATCAGATATACCATGTATTTCTATATCATACAAACATGGGCAGAGTTCTTATGTAATTATATTTACTAGAGTCAATCATCATGAACAGGATAGTAGAAGAGGTAAAGGGAAGGACTGTCTGAAAGGACAATTCCATGTGACAATTAAAAATCTGGAATGTACATTACAAAGTGAACTGGGGAAGGAGGAGGGAGGGAACTGTTTCTCAATGATCGAATGAAACCTCATCCTTTCTGTAAACTTTCACTAAAACCACAATTTAATAAATGGCAGAGAGTAAATTAAATTTCAATTTATGCATTCACTAGAATGCAAAAAGGGGGTAGATGAGTGTCTAATGAATCATTACTATGGTCATAATGTACAATCACCAGACGTTAAATATACTAATAGATGACAGGCATATGGACAAATTATTTAAAAGTTTCCTGGAACTCCAGAAACACATCAATTGATTAACTGTCATTAATTAATGAACCATTAGTGTTACTACAATTAGATTTAAGAAGTAGCTCCATTCCTAACTTTTACAATATGAGTCAAGCCTATTACACCAGCAAGTCTGACAGAAGATACATTAACTGTGGAAATGTGGCCAGTAAGAAAGTAATAGATGAGAGTCAGGGAGAAAAATCTACTTAAAGGAGAAGCATAGCACCCACATTTTCAACAGCACCTTGCCTATTTGTTCCTACACCTACTCATCATGGTTCATTTGATTTCATCTTTTTGAAAAATAATATAAAACAGTTTCATGGGTTTCTTCATATGTGGTTAGCATGCATTTGTAAAGCTCTGCTAACCTTTCCATTTTTCCTCTTACTTCAAACCACATTTTGCATATGCATCAAATGGAAACAGAATCTTATAAAGAGATTTTTGCGTCACTAAACTAGTTTTATAAATATTTGTTTATTATTAGGATAATTATTCCATCTCACTCTTTTTCTGTGTGTTTTGTCATACACATTAATCAATATTATAAAGAAGAAAACAGGAGACTAAATGTTTTAAAATAAACTTTAAGTTAGCTGTTTTGTTTGACAAGGAGAAGACATTTTGAGATGAATACTGAAATGCATCGCCCATTAGAGGTAACACAAAACTGTTTGGGGTAGAGAGAGAAAGGCTCAAACATACCTGGATTGTTTGACTCTGGTATACTTTAATTACGTGAAAACTGAAACTGTATATTCCTTTTCTTGGGGCTACAAAGACAGACTCCAATGTGAAAAAATTACCCACATTTACTAGGATCTACAAAGGAAAAGAGCAGACAACAGGAAGTCATTATGAGTGAACTTCATCTTTCATTCCTTCCTTCTTTCCTCCTGCCCTCCCTTCTTATGCCCTCCTTCTCATACTCCTTCCTCTCTTCTTCTCCATCTCTTCTTTCTCTCCTTTCTCCCTCTCCAACTACCTTAAGAAACCATCAAGAATCAAAGATCTGGCTCTACGTCTTTCCTCTTTATTGGCTGGGGAAAACAGATGTGTGTATTGGAATGTTCCTTCAAATGATAGAGAAAAAAAATAATAAGAACCACTCTGCAGTCACACTTCCACTCCCAGCAAGCCCAATGGTTGAGAAAGCATCTAGGTACCATGTGAGGGCTTATAAACATTAGCTTTACCTTGGGGTGTCTGCCATGTATTTACATTCCCACCAGCTACAAGCCTTCCCAATGTCCAGAGGTGACGTCTCTGAGCCAGCCAATCAGCATCCACAGGCTCTCTGCAGTCATCCCTGGACACATCACATACAGGCAGGGCTCCCTCCACCGTGAGACGTAGTCCAGACCACTGATGAACTAGCTGGTCCACACAGTGACCTGAATGCCTGATCCTTCTCTAGCATCCACCAGTCTCTTGTAAGACATTGAGGATTTTTTTAAAGTATCTTCCTATGCATCTTGATCTTAACGGTAATATTTTGGCCCTGATTCATTTCCTGTAGACTGCCAAAGAGTAGACTATGGGCGAGGAGACAGTCTATGGGACGGACAGGTGGTCTGCTCACGGCCCTCCCTGTGTTCTTCATTCTCTTCTCATCAATCATCTGTTCTTGATTTAAAGTTGAGGGTCAAAAAGAGAAAGTGTAAGGATAAAGCCATAATACACTGCTTTTCAAGAAAGCAGCAGTGCCTCTGGTATCCAAGACGTTCGGCTGGCTATGAAATCAGTGCCAGGAGCCAATAAGGGGCCTGACAATTTAAGATTTCAGGTCTCATCTAACTAAGTCCCTATCAATAAAGCAAGGAAGGATGTGTGTTTGGGGAGTGGAGGCAAGACATGAAGTTTCCGGGGGGGGGGGTATATTCCTCTCTAAAACCAAAATACATCCGTAAAAGTAATTTTTTTTTAAAAAAAGAATCTGATGTCCCTATAGAAAAGCACTCCCCATATATGAAAGACTTCTGCTGCTCTCTCTTCTAAACCCTGCTTCTTTGCTATTATGAACACCTTTGCAACCTCCTGCATAATTCCCTAAAAATGTACCATCATGTCTGAATAATAATACACACGAGACTAAAGGTCAGGCAGCTGAACCAGAACCAACTCCTTAAACACAGACTCAGCGCTAAAAACACCTCTGCACACAGTGTCAACGTGAACATTCACCTTTTCACAGGGAAGCATCGGATTTCTTTTCTCTGAGCTGACAATCAATGGTCTTTCAACAACAAGTTACCAGCCTGGGCAAGCATTCCCCAGGAGAGGCTCTTGGAAGGTTTTTGTTTGTTTGTTTCCCAGCCACATTTAAAATAATTTGAGGTGCTTGGCGGGGATACCCTGCTTTCCAGCCACAGTAGCATAACTCTTTAACAATAACGGGGGTAGCTGATTACTGTTGACGACACAGGAGGCTGGGTGCTGAGCTACCGCGTAATTAGAGCAGCCGGGCACATCGAGATTTATAACTAAGCGTGTCTTGTTTCCTCTAAGATGCATGGCTCCCTGGTCAGAAGAACAAACCCATCTCTTCTAATCGACAGAAAGGTCATTGAGCCGAACTCACAACCGCGGACCGAGCGCTGTCCAATGTATTCCAGCATTTAATTAATGCACTGAAATACAGGCCGGCACTGGGGCTAAGGCTTATTTCCATCAAGATGGGAAATACTGCACCAAAACCACACAGGGGCTGCTTAATTCTTTTTAAATGACGGCGATCCAGTAGTAACTCCCTGGAGAGGCATTCTCTGTCTCTGGCCAGCTGGAGAGTGCATTATTTTTAGGAAAAATTAAATAACGAATGTCAAATATCACCTCCTCCCTTGCCAGGAACATCCCGGGACACCATTTAACCTGTGCACGTGGCTTTGCATGCACCTGAGACCTGTGACTTAGCGATTTAAAAAGACTCTGAGGGTTGTTTTATTGCAAAGGCAGATCTTGGGTTGGGTTTGCCTGTAAGCTTCCTCCCTTAAGCTGGGCCATATACCAGATTTCTCAACACGCCAAAGCCTAGAGCGCAGGGTCTGCTTTCTTCAGTTCCTGTCCTTGTCCCAGCACCGAAGTGTCTTTCCCCCAGAAATGTGCATTTCTCTGAAAGACCAGCGCCTGGGGAAGGGAGAACGGGCTCCCTGGCGCTTCCCACCGGAAGCCTGGCGCAGCTGCCAATTCCCATTCCCCTGGTCCTCTGCAACTTTTCGCAGACAAGGGCTCCCTTAGGCGACTCCCAGGCAGCTGAAGCGGCACCTGGGACGGGCAGAGGGACTGTGGCAGCGGCGCAAAGGAGAAAGGGGTCTAACCCACAGCCACCCCCCCTCAGCATCTCTGCCCCCTGGGGGACGCCCTCATCTTAGGGCTCCACCGATCGCTCTGTGGGATAAGTTTCCCCACCTGGAAGAAGCAAACCAAACCTTCCCCAGACGTCCGCGAGAGTGTCGCGGGAACAGGCTCAGAGGAACCTGCAGAAATGTCCCAGCCAGGTGACCGCGCTCTGGCTCTAACCCAGCGATTCAAGGGCCGGGGACCAGTCTCTCCGCTCTGGGGACCTGTTGCTGTCAAACTTGTCCTGAGCTCCCGCTGCCCGGCTCTGCGCTCGCTCGGGCCTCTCCCTCGCCTCCCAGCTGCCTCTCCAAGAGGCCCAGAGGGAATGGAAGAGGAGCGGAGCTTAGCCGAAGTTTCCGACCCACTGAGGTTTGAGGATGCGAGTCCCGCTACGATCTCCGCCTCCCCACCGTCTCAGTCCGACCCGCTGAGCCCGTCCCAGGGTCCGCGCGGCCCGGCGTCCCCTCCCCCGAACCCGCAGCCCTGGGAGTCTGACCTGATCGAAGTAAATGATGCGCGTCTTGTTGCTCATCTCGGACGGCTCGTGGTTGGTGCTGCGCACGGCCGAGAAGGCCACCTTGGAGTTGGCCGCCCGGACCGAGATCCCCAGAGGCGAAGATGAGCCCTTGGCGTCCGTGGCCGGGTTCGAGTCGCACACCACCAGGCACTTACCCTCCAGCACGATGGGCTCTGTGTCGTTCTGCGCCCGGACAGGCTGCCCCGGCAACGTGGCCGCCAACAGCACGGCCAGCACCGCGGACAGCGCCCTGCACCCGGCGCCCATGGTGAGCCGCGCGGGCAGCCGGCTGGGGCTCCTGCTCGGCGGAGGCGCCTCCTCGCCCCGGACCGCGGAGCTCGGGCGGATGCCGGCGGCTGGAGGTTCCGCGCTGCGGGGACGGCGGCCGCTCCGGCGCGCGCGCTCGCACGGATTGTGTGGTTTGAAGCCCAAGCCTCCCTTCGCGCTCTCACTGGCTCTGCTCCCTTCGTCCTTTAAGGAGCTCATGCAGAACCCCTGCCCCACCCTCTTCCGCCCAGGAATCAACCCTCTCGGGCGCCCCTGCTCCTATCCTGGCGCCTGAACATCTAAAAGTCGCCCAAACCTCACATACACACCCAACAGGGGGAAACGACCAAATTCTCACCCCAAACACAAACCCCTGCCAGGTACAGCACGGAGCAGGAAGAACAGAGGGGACAAAGGGAAGCCACACGGGGGTGCGGGGCAGGCGCCCGGCAGGCTTGGCAGAGTCTGGCCAGGGACAGAGGCGAGTCACTGAGGCAGGTGTCTCCGGGACTGCGAAGATCACGAGGCCATGGAACCCGGCAGGACGCTAGCGGCTCCACTCCTTGCTGGGTCGAAAATTCTCCAAACCTTGGTGTCTCTCGCGCGTGGCAGCGGCTAGCCGGGTCTCTGCAGGCGAAGCCCAAGTCCGCGGGCTCGATTCCGGGGTGCAGGGCGCAGCTGCTCGGCGCCGGGTCCCTCCTGCTCTGCCGCGCGCCCAGGTCCCTGCGCACAACTTTCTCCTCCTCGCGCCGCCGGGGAGCGCGAGCGGGCACACGCGCGCTATTTATAGGAGAGCGGTGGCCGGCAGGGTTGGCTCACTGCTCTGCCCGCTGGCTCCGGGGAAAGGGGGAGACGGTCTGGTGGTTCTCCAATTTAGCCGCTTCCTCCGGGGTAGAAAGCGGGGCGCACAGCTCTGCTAGCAAGCGAGGTCTGATGCTACCAGCCCCCGGGTGCGCGCAGCACAGAGTGCTGTCCAGCGAGGCACCCACAGCCCTGAGCTTGACCAGTGAGGTGCCTGCTTGCCCCCAGTCCCCTAGGTCTGGGCCAGCAGAGCGGACCGCATCGCCCCTCTCTGGTCCGCAGCGCGTGACTCGGCTGCCGAGCGCCCTCCAAGTGGATGGATGTGTGGCGGCGACCCCGCACAGCGCGCTGCTCTGGACCTGGGAAACCGTGGGCGTCCTGACCGAGCCTGGCCCCGAGCCCGCCCCACGGAGTCCCGGGCCTGGTGCTCTCAGAAACCTCAGGACAGATTGGAAACCCCGGTGGGGGCCGCTTGGAGGAGGTGTCTGAAGCCTTCCGCTTTGGGTATAAAGAGCCTCAGACACCGCAGGGGTGCGCCGCTCCACCTACCGCAGCCAAGGCCAGGACAAACAGCGAGAGACTCAACTCAGCAAGAATAAGTCCTCGGAAACCTCCTCATCACCCAAAATGCCAGGCTGGCTCCTGAGAACACAGCACCTCTGTCACTCCACCCCCGTGAAGTGCCACCCTCTGCCCTGTGCCACCCGTGTTCATCTTGGTCTCTGATTGGCACGATGTTACCACGGACGTGGGGAGGGCTCAATGCGCCTTTGATCACTGAGTGCTCTTGACCAAGTCAGCTACCCTCTGAGAGGCCTGGACCCCACTCACTGCAGTTTTGTGATTTGAGGGTCAGATCAACCGCTTGCCAAAGTCCTTCTAGACTTCCAGCTGACAAAGGGCAGGAACTGTGTCTTTAATCCGCACAGCATCCGGCATCCCGGCTGCCCACCGGCCTGGCGCAGAGTGGAGAGAAGCACACTGCAATGCACTGAGTAAGTAGAAATTGGACGGCTTGTGAGCTTATCTCTCTGGCGGTTAGCACAGACCCTGCCTGCAGAGGGAATCTTCTTTACCAGGGAATTCCAGCCCCTCCCAGGAAGGCTAGACCTGTCTCCAGTCCCCTAAGATCCTTCTGGAAAAGCAAGCACTCCAACACAAAATGCAGATGCAACTGTTCAAGGAAGAGGTATTCCCACTGGTTTTTAATCCCACCTCTCTATGATCCAGCAACTGAAGTGAGGCCTGACACCAAACAGGACCCAGTGGGATGGATCTCCGTTCTGAGGGCAGTGTGCTGTACACAGCATGTGAAAACACTAGTGGTCCTCCCAGCCTAACGGATGCTCCCACCAGCAGGGTGAGCGAGATTGTCTAAGGATGACCGCCATTGCCCCAGCACCAGTGACCCCGAGACCAGCACAGCATTTCACCTGAACCTTGACTGTCCTTTCAAACTCTCTCAGAATCCCTGGGAGTGCAAGTGATGAACACTTTCAGCAGCCAATCAAAGGTTGGTGGTTCCATCCTGTCCCGGGAACTTAGAAGGTCTGTTGATCTACTTCTCCAAACTCAACTCCATACAGCACAGCTGTCCTCTGGCACCCACGAGTTTGTCGTGAGTTGAAGGTGATTGCGTGGGGACTAGGGCCTTGATAACAGTTTTCTCTCATTTGATACGTTCAAATCCACCAGCTGATCTGTGGGAGAAGGATGTGAATCTGCTTCAAAAGATTTACAGTTGTGGGAACCATATGGGGTAGTTCTATGTTGTACAGTGTCACTATGAGATGGAATTGGCTTTGATTTGGGTTTCGAGTTTGGTGGTACAGCGGTTATGCACTAGCCTGTTGATCCAAACACTGGTGGTTCGAGCCCACCAGCCACTCTTCATAAGAAAGATGTGGCAATCTGCTTTCATAGTGATTACATGCTTGGAAATTCTATAGGATCGTGCTACGCTGCCCAGCAGAGTCAAGATGAGTCAGAATTGACTCAACAGCAGTTAACTTTGGGGTGCAGTCTGCAGTGGGGAGAAGGTTGGTAGGAGTAGGAGGGCTGACCACACTGTAGACTGAAGCCCTGTCCAGAGACCTTGAACCTCTGAGAGACAGAAGGAGTGAGTCTCCAGTTCCTAATTCCTATGGTCAAGAAGGCCAGCAACCCTCGTGTCTAACCTTGGTCTCCGGAGGGCTTCTGCATTATTTCAGCAAGATCCATTTTCCTTGAGCTAATTTTAATTAAACAACCAGAATTCTCATTACACCAAATATAAGTTCCCAAATCAGACCATGTAAGGCCCTATTGGTTCAACAAGGAGCACTGGTGGCCTAGTGGTAAGAACCTACACTGCAACCCCAAAGGCACATGGTTCAAATCCATCAGCTGCTCCTCAAAAGAAGGATTAGCCATCTTCTCCCATGTGATTTACTGCCTCTGATACCCAGCTGAATGGTCAACAATGGGTCAGTCCCTACTCCACAGCACACAATAACAAGAGGCTCAATGGTAAAGTGTTTGGTTGATAACCCAAAGGTTGGCAGTTCAAACTCATCAACCACTCCTCAGAAGAAAGGTGTGGTAGACTGCTCCTGTGAAGATTATAGCTTTAGAAACCCTAGATGTCAGTTGTTCTCCATCCTAAGGTTGCTGTGAGTCCCGATCTATGTGATAGTAACAAGATTTATTGTTGATATTTGATTTTTTTTTAAAGCCACACATCTTTGACAAAAAGACATGAACAAGTCCAGCCCCTGCCTGTGAGAAACGCTTCCTTGACATTTTTGGAAAGGTGAAGACCTGTTTCTCACTCTTTCCTCTACCAGTGACCCCAGGTGCAAAGAAGCAAAACCAAAGTCAAATTTCTTTCCAATCACACCAGTCTGCTTTGTACTTGAAAATATGCTCTTGGAAATCCCAGTAGTGACCCAAGACTGAATCTAGTACCCAAGAATTCTGTCCATAGCCTTTAGAAGCGAGACATTTCTAGTTCTCTGGAGTAGGACTCAGTTTCAGAGTAAGGTGGAATCTAAGCTGGTCTTGCTTGCACAAGAAAGCAATCCTCCACGGCCAACGTCTGCACATTGCGTAACTGTCCACTGACACATTAGAGAAGCCACGTTTCAAGGAAGCTCCATACAGTAAGGACTCCTGACAGACTTTCTGTTCCTAAAGAATGTAGATCTGAGGAGGCAGAGATCTACGCAGGTATTTGGCTCAAAGGGTCTTGGCTGAAAAAATAATCTGTTCTTAATGAAAGACACAACCACAGATCAGCAGTGCAGAAGGTGGGAAATTGAGAGAGACTGGCTGCCAGTTTGGCATCGTACCCAGACGAAGGTCTGCTGAGCCACTTAACCACCTTCTGTTCTGTAGAGTGATGGCCAGCGACACAAGCACACATTTTTCAAGGGACAAAGAGCTGCTTAAGGAGCAGAGACCCTGTAAAGAACTCTTCTGTGAATTCTAGAAGGTTCCAGAACAGAGTTAAATACATTCTCTGGGATCCTTCTGCAAGCAGCCAAAATCACTGACTTGTTTGAACAATGACAGACTTATTAGGGGAAAATGACTTGGATGGGAGAAAGACGGGCAATGTCTCATCTTTATGATTGACATTAGAAGTTAAAATTTGTTTGAGATAATAGCTCCATTTGATTTAGTTCGATCACCCCATTGATCAATTGGGCCTAAAATATAAGGCTTCGTGGTTGTCTTGTATTTGTGGGCATACTTAAATGCCACTTGTTCCTCTCCCAAGAGCTTTAGTGGCACTGTGGACAAGGCACTTGGCTGTGAACAAAGCATCAGTTTGAACCCACCAGCCATTCCATGGAAGAAAGACATGGTTCTGTGCCCTGTTAAGGACTTACAGCTTTGGAAAGATTATGGGGTTGTCTACACGGGCTTACAGGCTAGTTAAGAGTCGACTCAATGAGTGGATTTGGGTTTGGATTTTGGTTATAATGCCTTGTGCTCCTTCTTTATCCCAATTATTGAAGTCCTTCATTTCTCTGTTGTGTCCTCCCTGAGAGCTCTTTTTGAAAATTGAAGAAAATCAACACCTCAATGCGTCGCCATTGAGTCAGAACAGGCACAGAGCTGGCCCTCCATTGGGTTTCTGAGGCTGTCAATCATATGGAGGAGTGTCTCACATTCTCACATTTCTCCCTTTGAGCCACAGATGGATTCGAACCAACAAAGAGACATTGTCCTTGAGTTACCAACACAAGTCTCTAGGACTACACTAACTGGGGGTCCCTTAGCAAAGAATGGGTACTCAAAACAAATAAACAAAGTTCACCATTAGGTGCATTTGAACCATCCACCTTTACACTAGTAGTTCACTGGAAACTGTTTGCACCATCCAGGAATAAAAGGACAAAACACATAGTAATATGCATTATGCAATTGGCAGCATCATGATGGATGGTAAAGAGACTGAGATTGTTCAAAGTTTTAGTTTGCTTGGCTCCACAGTCAACCCTCTTGGCACCAGCAGCCAGGAAATGAAAAGATTATTGTGGTGGGAAAGTCTGTGGTTAGACACCTCTCTAAAGTGCTGAAGAGCAATGATGTCAGTCTGTAGGCTAATGTGCACTGGATACATGTCATGGCCTTTGCAATCACTTGCTATGCATCAGAGAACTGGACAATGAGTAGGGATGATAGAAGGAGAGTTGATGCCTTTGAGCTGTGGTGTTGGAGAAGAGTACTGAAAATGCCATAGACTGCTAAGAAAATGAACAGGTTTGTCCTGGAGAGGGGGAAGCCAGGCTGCTCTTTGGAGGCAAGGATTCAGAGGCTTCATCTGACATAGTTTGGGAATGTTGCAAGGAGGGACCAGTCCTTGGAGAGGGACATCATGCTTGGGAGGGTGGAAGGACAGTGCAGGAGAAAAAGACCCTCTATGAGATGGATTGATTCAATGACTGGGGTAATGGGGGTAGATGTGTCACAGACAGTGAGATTGGCACAGGACAGGGCAGAGTTTAGGACTGTTGTACATAGGGTCACTCTGAGTTGCAGGTGGCTTGACAGCACATAACAACAACAACAATTTGATGTTCATACTCTGCAAGTGTATATTTGTATATGCTTAACCAGGAAGGAGAAAAAATATGGGAAGTTGGAAAACAAATTGCCAACTTTAGAGGAATAGGGTAGAAAAGAAAAACTAGTATTCATTTCACTTATTTAAATAGCAATTATAAAAAGAATATTCAGTCTATAGCATGTTATGAAGATTAAAAGTAGGGAAATGACTAAAATGTAGGTGTTTCTTTCCCTTTTGAATTGTCAAAATAATCACATATTACACTGTAACTCACATTTAAAACAAATTCTACCTCTCATTGAGGGTCTTCCTGTCTTTCAAGTTTCCACTTTCTTGCTAAGCGTAATGTCTTTCTCCTGAGAACATGCTTA